TAAAATTATAACTCTCACAAGCAATTTTTTAAATGTCTTAGCAGTGTTCCAGTTCAGTCTCTGTATTTAGCTAAATAAACGTTAAATGTTATATTGTTGAACTAAAGCTCTCTGGAGTACTTTATTGTTCTTTTTCGTTGAAACAACTGGAACACATTTCAGTACCAACATATAGTTATACAAACGTTAAAACGTTTAAAAGCCTTCTTCGGAGCTTTTAAGACTCGAGGAACGAGATTTACAAATACAATGTAGAGGGTGAACATTTGTTATTGTATCGATAAATAGTCTATTATTAACGTAAATAAAATCCAAAATATACATGGTATACGAAAAATAAAAATAAAAATATTAGCTTGGCAATTTAGATTATCATATTATGCATAGGATTTATTAGCATAATAATATACGGGTGTCCAAAACCACCCGTACACCCCTTTCAAAACGATGGAAACCATTTCTTACAAACAAAAAATAATACAGAACTAGCTAAATTGGCACGGTCTACCAAATGGTGATAATTTCAAATCCAAAATCAAACCGGAAGTGGCTTTTTCAGACCGGAAGTTGACATTTTTAAATGTAAACTACAAATTTTGATTACAAAATCGCATTCTACGTTGAAAAATACATAACTTTTGTCTAAAACATTTTTTGAAAAAACTTGTTTTCTCCCTCTAATGCCCCATTAAAGTCAATAATTTTTGGTCATTCATCCGTCAAAGTTACTCGAAACAATAATAGAGAAAAACAAATAACAAATATTACATAAAGACATGTGATAAATAGTATCAGCTGTTCATTGTAAACACCTAACAATTGAGTTAAAGCTGGTCTACCCATTGCTTAATTTCATTTTATTTTTAAAATAAATCATTTGTTTTTACATTTAAGGAGTCATATGTAACAATAAATTATAAAAAAATTAAACTTAGCAATGTGTAGACCAGCTGTTACTCAATTGCTAAGGTGTTTAAAATAAACAGCTGATTCTATTATTCATATGTCTTTATGTAATCTTTGTTGATTGTTTTTCTGTATTATTGTTTCGAGTAACTTTGACGGATGAATGACCAAAAATTATTGACTTTAATGGGGCATTAGAGGTAGAAAACAAGTTTTTTCAAAAAATGTTTTAGACAAAAGTTATGTATTTTTCAACGAAGAATCCGATTCTGTAATCAAAATTGGTAGTTTACATTTAAAAAAGTCAACTTCCGGTCTGAAAAAGCCACTTCCGGTGTGATTTTGGGTTTGAAATTATCACCATTTGGTAGACCGTGCCAAATTTAGCTAGTTCTGTATTATTTTTTTGTTTGTAAGAAAAGGTTTCCATCGTTTTAAAAGGGGTGTACGGGTGGTTTTGGACACCCGGTACTATGTTGCTCATATTATGAAGGGACCAACAATCCTACTCCGTATATTTTGGAAATTCAAGAATATACAGTTTTCAATATTCGTAAGGTAAAAAATATTTCTAAATTCGACATTTGTCAATCATATAGCCTTTGAAAAATTGCAAAGTTTAAAAATGTTTAAAAAAATTGTTTTTAAATACTTGTTGTTTCTATACAGTATTTGATTTAAAATTACATTTTTCCATGTAATGTGTGAAATCCTAGATTATACTATAAACAGCTGTAGGCAAAAATATTGAAATATGTCGCCATTTTACAAGATGGCGGCCGTAGCACAGCTTTGATTTTAGCAGAATGTTAGGGGAAGTTCAATAGAAAGACACAGCCAACATCTGTACCAAATTTCTTGCTTGTACTAATTTGTTTTAGGTTTATGGAATTTTTCATTTATTTTTACTGTACTAATTCTTATTTTATCAATGTTACGCGAGCAAACAACATAAAAGTAATTAAAGTGTAAAATAGTGGTAGACCTAACCAATAATGAAATTATTAATGAAATAATCAATGAAATTAATTATTTTCATTCCTTTTAATCCATTTCATTTATATCTATAAATCACCATGCAGGATTGCAAACGTTCTTTTTGCAAATTATGTAGATATTTTGTTGCTTGGCCATTTTGTTTTGAATATTCTAAATCGAATGAGACTCGGGGTTGTTTTTTTACATATATTTATTGTAACTGCAATAAGACCCCTAATTTTCATCCTCGGTTATACCGGTCCTCAGTTTATCCAGCCACTCCACTCCTTGGAAGCCAATTTTGAAAACCGAAAACTATATCTTACGGCTTGCAGCCACTAGTCTCCGCGACTCTCGGCTCGAGGTTCGTCTATTTTTTACATTATACTTTACATTACTCGCTAAAAACAATTCCTAACATATAAACAACTTAACAACACTAACGCACTGTGTAAAATTATGAGTAAACAAATTATACTAACAGTTTATTAAATCCCATTATAGTGCAGTAAATATAATGTACAATAATTTATAATTTTGATATAAGACAAAATACTTTTTTTTTTTTATATAGATCAAATCAAAACCTGGAAAGTAATGTAACACTGTTGGGAATTTCTATTGATTGTAAATTGTCATGGAAGAATCATATTGAATTAGTTTGTAAAAAATTACCAAGAGTAATATGTTTATTGTGTAAGTTAAGACAAATGTTACCTGATGTTAATTTAAATATGGCTTATTATGCATTCTTTGAAAGTATATTGAGGTATGGTTTGGTTGTCTGGGGTAATGGCATTGGTATCGATGATGTCTTGATATTACAGAAAAAACAGTTACACTTATAACTGGTTCATCTTTCCCGGCACATTGTAGGCCTTTGTTTGTGCAAACAGGGATTTTGACTGTGATCAATCTTTACATTTATGAAGTTATAAGGCTAGTGAGAAAAAATATTGATTCTTTTTGCTAATTGATGTTTGATTCATGTTTTCTTTGATAAAAATATGTCTAGGACTGATGTTCATGATCACTTTACTAGGTTTAGGAATAAAATTGACATATCTAGATGTAGATTGACAGGAACACAAAAGTATCATCACACTCTGGGCTTAAAGCTTTACAATAAACTGCCAAACTACGTTGTAGATATTACTAGTGATAAGGTATTCTTTGAAATTCTGTATAAATGGCTCCTAGAAAACCCAATGTACCAGATTGATGAGTTTTTAAATTCTGAAATAGTTATTTGAATATGCTGTCATCCTACATAGCTTTAAATAGAAAATAGTATTAGCATTGACTTTATATAGTCAATGGTATTAGTTTTAAAGCCTGACATTTGTTTAGACTAATTTGACGAGATCTATTGTAAACAATGTATTTACTTAATGGTCAATAAATTTCTTATTCTTATTCTTAATAAAATGACATAAAACAATACAAATTAAATGCTACAGTATATAGTAAACATATTATATATGTAATGATAGGAAATAGAAAGTAACCAGGTTTTATTTGATTCAGAAAACTAGTGCAAACAGTGATAAAGTAAATGGAGCTGAATCACTAGAATATTTTAACCTGCAAAATCGGAAACGCTTAGGCAGCAGAGAGCGTTCCGTGTTCAGCAATGTCAGAATATTTGTCTTGTTAATGTTTCTTTATTTTAGAATTTTCTTGTAATTTTTGTGGTTTCTGCCAAATTTTATGAAATATATTTTGTGCAGTGGAATATTTTATTATACCTCAATTCTATGTAATGGTGGAAGATATTGTGTTAGTCTAGTTTCGCTCCTTGTTTCTATGATATGAATGTACCGGTCGGTTTGAACCAGCGACCATGTTTGAACTTACTGAAGCAATGTTAAACTAGACATTAATCTCTTATTAAGGTCTAATTTATTATAAGAGCTTACAAGAGATTAGTTGTGTAGTAATCTTATATTTCCTATATTTCACCAGCTTATAAGTTGACGAACTTTTAAAATAAATTAAATTATACGAATTACAAATCTTTTATTTTGACAGGTGAAGTTGTAGTTTCATGGCCCTTCATTACGCTTAACCTGCATTTATAAAGAAATATGCCAAAATACACATATTTACTCGTGTAAAAATACTGTTATTTCTTTAGTAAACGTAAACAGAAAGATTAATTAGGCCATCTTTTTAACACTGCGGTTTACTGTACGTTTTTTGTAATTTGTCTTATATTTTTCAAGATTTATTGATCTTTACCGTTAGTGACAATTAAAACCGTAGATTGAATAGAGACAATGTGGTTAAGGCTAGTCAATTGGTAATATCAATGATTTTTAATTTGACTTTGAACGAAGGGATTAACACTGTGTTAAGAACACAGTGCCAACACGTGGTGCACGTGGGCACGTGGTGTCATAGACGTACTACTATGATATTCCAGCTATCACGGCTATGGCTATTTAATTGATATTAAGCTAAATGTGACAGTGTCTAGATTCTTTATAGCTTGGTAGGTAGATAGGTTGATTCTAAGATTACAAAAATATAATTCAAGTTTTATAAATAAACGCTACATCAATAACAACAAAATAAATTTAAAATACTGCTAATGTAAGTTACTGAATTGCACTAAGGTACAGTAAAGTGGTTGTTGTGCTCGTGTTAAGACACAATAACCGTGTTAACAATACGTGTAATCTGACAGCTCAAACTGTTCGCTAATTACGCAGTGTATAGCTTCTCCTTCACTTACCTTCACCGGCGTTGGCGTTGTACAACTTTGAAACTACTGGTTACGACTAAGATAGGATAGCTTTTGTGTTAAATGGTTATTACGTATATAAAACTATTTTTATACATTGTTTCGGTGAAACCATGTCACTTAATGATTTTACTTCTTTTGATTGAACGTAGCCAAAAATTAGACCACATAGTAGCGGTTTAAATGGTTTTGACATAGTTATTGTAAATCCATTATGAACAACGCTGTTAAAACAATAATCACATACCGGTAAATATAATGCACCTGAGAAATAGTGGTATGTTTTGGAACAATGTACGTATCTTTTTATTAAAATATGGTTTTTATATTGAAAAAGCTGAAATATAAGATCGAGAGGGTGCATGGTTACCTGAAAGTTGACGGAGGCGCCATACTTGAGCAGCAAGTACACGAGGGTGGCGTTGCCTCTGATGACGGCGAGGAACAGAGCGGGGAGGGTGAACAGGTACTGTCGAGTGTAGGTCTCCATCCACCCCGCTACCTTGTCAGCCTCGATGTTGGGGTTGACCTTCAGTAAAGGGCCTTCCTTCCCACCAACGACTGTAGGAGAGCCTATCCCCAGGACTTCGTCACCGTCGTCATCCTCATCAGGACTACTCAGGGAGCTGCGTGACGACCTCGACGGGGAAGAAAGGGATGACGAAGAAGTGCTTGAAAACCCACTCTCTGTTTGATATGTGGCGAGCTTTCTCTGTTCGTGAGCCGCTAAAAGCGTTTCTACGTCGATTTGGTGCTCTGTTGGAGTGGCCTTATTTTCTTCGTCTTCTAAAGCTTGCTGCTCCGCGTCTTTCATTGACAGATTCAGCAGTATACTTTTAAAAATTTCACTGCTTCTTCTCAGCTCAGCGAATATACTCCTTTCTGGAATTATAGCCTTGACCTTGGCCGGGGATGCGTCAGCATCTGGTGGTCTAGGGGAGATGAGGGGGCTGGACTTAAGTGATACACTTCTTCTTTCCGTCGTCCACGATCCGCCAGGTCCTAGAAGCTGGTTGTTGTGCTCCAAAGAGAAGGATCTCTGACGAGGTAAGGACTTGGTGGTAGCTCTCCGCTTCTTGCTCATGTCCGTAGGTGACGAGGGGGAGATCCAGCTGACCCGACGGACGGGGGTAGCTGCGGTCGGAGTGGACGGAAGAAGCTCAGGTTTGAGAAACTTTTGGGGAGACAGTTCTGTCAAGGGCTGTGCATCATCTTTGGTAGAAGATTCTGTAAGAGATAATAATTTTTCTTAGACTTATATAATAGTCTAACAAATGTTTTTAACTATAACCAGTTTTATTACAAATCATTCATAACTAATCACGATTTTGTCTGGTGTCTTGTACGTAAACAGCTACCTCGTCAGTTAAGACCTTTAAACAGTTATACATCATTTTATATAAACAAAATTATTCTAATTTAATTTGTTTTGAGGAATGGTGTATTATTGTAGTCAGATAACATATAAATGAAGAATTCATTTAATATGGCACAATTATGTTTTAGACAATTCACACCACGTTTATCCTTTTTATGAACTTCAGTTTACATGTTATTCAAGTGTAAAAGTCAAGTGCGTGTTTACCATTCATTACAACTAATAACCTGTAATCAAGCAAAGTACTCTCCTTAATTAAGTAATTTTTAAAAGTCCGTACTAGCAACGGTACAATGACTCAATATGATGCAGAACTATTGGCATAATTGATATTTTATTTCAGGAGGCATAATCGTAGAATCTTACGGTATGTAGTCCTATTTAAAACGGGGGGGGGGGGGGGGGGGTTGTGTTTACTTAGTCCTAGGGATAGCTACTTATATAAATATAGTCTACTACTATTTGCACAATATGTGTATTATGCTACATTATACATTTCCTAAGGCAAGGAAAATTCTATCATTTAATTGATTTAAGAGACTTATTATACTGTAATATTTTGGATATATTTGTTATGTTCAAATGCCCCTATACCCTATTATTTGTATCTCCTTTCAAACCAATTAGCCTTAAAATAGTTAGAAGAGACTGTTCAGGTTAGTTCTAGTTTTTATCCATGCAAATCGTAATTAACAAAATTTGCCAATTAATTATTTGTAAAATTACAGTACCAGGGCTCATTATTAAAATTACCTTGTTATCAATCATGGGAATATTAAACAACAGTTTTTAGGTTATCATATCGTAAAATTGTATTGCAAAGTTTCAATTAATTAATTGTTTGCAGTTATTAAGCAAAACAAAACGTATACGTCTATTATCTTAATTCAGTTAATTACACTAGACACTGTTATCATCTAATGGGACTCTCAATAACATAATGAGTTTAATCAAATTATCATTTTCAACGGTATAGCCCACAAAAGCACATTACATTCCGAGGCTAAATGGACTGCAATAGTGACAACACATTGCCACCATTGACTTTGGCTACTGCAAGTAGACTTCTCGTCGTAACCCTATATAATGCGTAAATATGTACAACATGTTTCTTCTTTATACGGTGGTGGTGTTTCTTTATTTATAAATATTTCAATACCACAACCACTTCTAGTATATTTTTAAGGCAATAAACCTCTCTGTTCTTTCGAATTATTATCGAAGTTTTAAACACCAGTAAAAGAATAGCAGGCATCATCCCAATCAAGCGTTACAAAACGTAAACTTTTTAAAAATTATATCGATAGATCGATAGATGATTTACAAGGATGAAATTGATGATAAATTTATAACGGAGCATGTCTAGCCATTGATTGCCAATATAGTTTTACAGTAGGTTCCGCCCAGGTTATGTAGAGAACTTTTGGTTTTATCATTGGTTTATTGACATTTCGTAAACTTTGGAAATACTGTATTTCAACCCAGTGAAATAGTTTACTTATGACGTTTTTGGGTAGTAAAGTCTAAAATTAAAAAAAAATATTAAAGTATCCTTATAAAAAATATTTAGTTGTCATTATCGCACTCAAACGTCACCTACATTAAATATACTTTAAAATGGATTTACAGATTTAACAAGATACTATTTCTTTTAATGTATCCACAGAGGTGTTGATTTAGATTTTTTGTTATTTTCTTACAGTCCCAGTAGTTATTTTTATTTACATGGTTGGTTTTCCTCACCAGACTTGATTTTCTTTGGCGAAGGAGTGCGGATGTGCGGCTGTGGAGAACACGGCCGGGAGGGTGGCTGGGGCCGGCGTGGTGACGGAGGTGCCGGAGGGACTCTGCCCCCCTGGTCCGGCTCCAGACCATACTTGAGCAACAGCCTCGCTACCTCCACGGCCCCGTGGTCCACCGCCACATGGAGAGCGTTGCTGAAGATGAGGGGAGAGATGAGTGGAGACCGACACGACGACGACGAGGACGAATATTGGTCCGACGGCTCCAACCTGTAACAAGTAGGGATTAGCTCAAGTAACCTCCCCTTTGGGTTAAGATGAAACACTGAAGAGGATTAAACCTCTCCCCTAATTTAGAGAAAATACTATTGTATATGGACCCACAATGAACGCTGGGAAACCCAAGAGCATAAAACCAGTTCCATCCTGCAAAACTAAGAATAAAGTGGAAACATGTTTAAAGATGAAAGCATATTTAGTCTAGTATTAGGCTAGATGAACATTAGTTAGTTTATATAGTTAGTTGTATTGAGACTTTTTGTATCAGAATAATGCTGGTAAATAAAGATATTACTTTCAGTTTATTGAAGCCCATCTGAAAAGTCCTGATTACATTTTCGGCAATAACTAAGAATACCCTACTTTTACAACTGATTACAGCTGGACGATTAAAAAGCACTTCTATTTAGTGAACACAACACATATTTATACAACTTATTGAATGAAAACCAGCAACGTGTTTACTAGACCATTAGGGTTTGTTTGATTAAGCAATGAGATTGTTCACTGGATGTTTCGAAAGACTAAAATGTCCATTGATTATCGCCGTTCATGCAACGCATTCCACTGATTGTACAAAATATGAGGCGTTTGTGTACATCCCAAGTAAAAAATGTGAAAATATATTTTGCGTTTAGTTAACGAGCTATCTGTATATTTTTTTAAGATCTCTTAGAGAGGTCAACAAGGTACTATCATTGTATTTCACTGCAAGTTTTAAATAGATTGTAAACAATACCAAACTACAAATATGAAATTTTAAATCAATTTTCAAATTTGCCAAACGGTTAAAATACAATGTAACCATTTTAGGAACCTAGCAAAAATATAGCATTTTACTAAATTGTAGAAAAATCATTTCCCGCTGCATGTTACGCATACTAAGGCTAAATAAAAAATTAAATAAAATGATTCTACAATGTTCAATAATTGATTTAATATGTTGGCATTTCAAAAGACATAATAACATCGCGAACTTCTATATATTTAATGCGTTGCCTTGTCCTCCAAAATGTGTTGTTTTTGGAAATTGGCAGTCTGAGATTCAGCGGCAAATAACTTAAATCTCTGCACGTGAGACTCATGCAAATGTATATAGAAGTTTGTACCGTATAGCTTATAGCGTAATAGTGGATTAATCATAAATTAACCTAGGGTAGTATCAAGAATAATTTTTATACAATGTTATTTCTATATTATAAAGGAAATATTCGTTGCTTCCCATGAAGAATTCTTAAATCGCTGTAATTAACCTAGGCTCAAGCTGTTCAGCTTTTAGTAACAGAAAATGACGGAGCACAAAGCTGGTGTAATTAACTCCTACAAAGGGTTTCCTGGATGAAATAAATTCTTTTATTCCTGGTTAAATTAATTCTGAACCGTTTTAAAGAGCACTAGAGCAAATCTTTACATAGTTTCATACAATTATTTTCTGGGTAAGTGTTTAGCCTTAGTAATGGATACATTTTCCTATAGTTGTATACTTTAACTAGCTGTACCCGCGGGCTTTGCCCCGTTTAACTTCATACTTGAGCTCGTTCGCATGGCCCAATCACGTCCTGGTTGAAGTTCGTTCGCTACGCTCACTCACCTTTAGGTTGGAGCTCGTTCGCTGCGCTCACACGTCCTGGTTGAAGTTCGTTCGCTACGCTCACTCACCTTTACGGTTGGAGCTCGTTCGCTGCGCTCAATTGCCTTCAGGTTAGCTCGTTCGCTACGCTACCTCGCCTCCGGGTTGAAGTTCGTTCGCTACGCTCACTCACCTTTTGGTTTCAAATTAGCTGTTGTCAAATATTTAAAAAAATAATAGTGCTGCACTCTGTTGGTAATCCTTGTAACTTTAATGCTATTGAATATCATAGAACAGAACCAACTTGTTTAATTGAAACAGCTGTTATGATTCATTAATTCCATTTAAATATGAGTACTCATTAGGTTAACATGGGAAACTCCAGAGCCACTGGGGCGGAGCCCGAGAGTCCGATCAGAATAAAAACCACTTAGTTTTCCTATTTAATGCCTAAAGAATCAGTGTACCAAATTTCAGCCTCCTAGGTAAGTGGGAAGTGGGAGAATTAGTGATGAGTGAGTGAGTGAGTCAGTCAGTCAGTCAGTCAGTCAGTCAGTCAGTGAGGGCTTTGCCTTTTATATATATATAGATAGATAGATATACATAAGCATTTTTATTCATCGACCTTACAATAAAATGACCATGCACGAAAATACAAAACACTATGTAAAATGAGTTAAATGAGTTATAAGGAAAGGACTACCTTATAAAACTATGGAAAGTCTTAGGTTAGATAATGTTAGTGGAAATTGTACTATATTGTTTGGTAAAACTTTTAATCCGCTAGGCGCTTTCATATATTGTTACAATTTTATATTACTGCTATGCAATTATTGAACTAATAACGTGTGTTCAATAAAAACCATTTTACACATGTATTATTGTAAAGATACTACGAGAGCATGTATAGTTTCGTAAAATGTATTCTTAACCCATTGTTGTTTCTTGGCGACAAATAAGTAGCAAGGGAGTAAACTAACGATTTTGATTACAAACATGAGTGAAGACTTATCCGGCCTTGAGGGAAGCCACTATAAAGATAAGGACCGTGCAGTTAGTGGCTCAGGGATGAACAGTAATCGTGTGCTATGATGATGAGTTTTTAAGTGGCTAGCAAGAAGATGGTTGTAAATAACGCTTTATTCACTGTCGCGTCATAGCGAAAACCCCGCCACGACGTCGCGTCAACACTAACGATCAAATCATTCATAATTATCTCATTAGGTGTGGTTTTTAGAAGAAGCTTCGTTTCGCGCAAAGAATTTATGCAACGCTTGACTTCTTGAGATTGCTAGTTCATGCACCCCTACTTATTAAACTAAACGAGTAAAGAAAAAAAAAACAACTCTACTAGTCAATTACTATTAACCCTGTTAATATCATTATTATGATAACAGACTCATTTCATTTGGCCCTACTCACTAAGTGGGTATTACTTTTTTAATATAGGCAAATAGTATATTACGTTACTAGTCCTGAAAATAAGTGTTTACCGGACGAGTGTGGTCGTTCCCGTGCGAGACGAAGTCGAGTACGGGATTACCATACGAGTCCGGTACACACATTTTGGACGAGTTACGTACGATAGTTTACGCCATACTACTTAATCCGTACAAATCGTTATATATTTCCACCAACTAAAGGACTAAAAATCACTAGTCATGAGAGGTTATGTTTTTGTTTATAACCACTAATTGCCACGAAAATACAGTATAATCAGCTGATTGGTGTCCGGTAAAACTCATTGCAGAACAGTATTACGCAATGAAACCCCATTTGAATAAGCTGGTGGCAAACAGCTGTTTTCTGGACTAAATCCTTGCGTGGAAAGTTCATCAAAATAATGTAGTGTGGCGTAAAATATGTTTCCAGCTTAGTTATGAGGTTATTGTTAACATGTATTTTTATTCAGGCGAAATCCTCAGGATTATCTACGGTTAAACAATGGTTGGTTGATGCTTACAGGTGTTGAGACTGCTTTGGCAAATAAACCAAACAAACAAACCACAACATGTATAGGTCATAATAATCAATAGTTTCAATAGCATAGAATCTTTAGTCCGAGATAAATACTGCACGTGAGCTGATTCAATCCTGAGAAAAGTTTGACGATTTTTGATGGTTCAAAACTGGACTAGGCTGTCCTGGATCATTTGGCTTTTAATAATAGTCCTAGCAAAAGAAAAAGTCAGTCTTAGTCACTAACAAAGCTACACAACGCATATAACTTCATTCTACACTCATCCTTCATTCAAATACACACCTAGGTTGTGTCACCATCTCAACTGGTAATATGCCTAATCTATATAAATAAAATTACAGTTTTGTCTGTACAATAATAATAAGCTATTACAGCTTCAATTTGTTATGGTTTTTAAATAGGTTTTGCATTTGTTTTAGAATAATTTAGTCTACATGGAAATGTTTGTATAGGTTTAAATAAGAAACTAATATCCAAATCAACGACCATCTCAAGCTACGCCACCAAGTTGGGCCACTTCACCCAAGACTCTTGCATAGACTTCACTGGTTTAAAAACAGATTTTATTAAAAATTGATTAGAGAAAAATGTGTGCAAGTTGACCACATTTCCTCACACCAAGTACGAAGGTTCACTTTCTAACATGTTAGTTATCTCCTACCATATCTTTCTATAAGACACATGTTGATAATTTGAAGGTATTTTAGACTGGGACGGTAGTGTCGTCCTGTAATCCAGCTACTGGGAGGTCACAAATTGTGGATATTTATAGGCATGCACTGTGGATGTGACACTCCCGGTGTGGATTGACGTCTGCAATAGTGAGTACTACGACTATCCGCAGTACAATCCCAATAATTAGACCAATTCGTTAATTCTACTATAAACTGTAGGTCCCTTAGTTGCCATTAGCTGTATGGGCTATTAATTAACAGCTGTGTCTAAGGAATATGTCTGCCTTAGTCACTAGCAAGACTACAAGATCAAGCCATTCATCCTACATCCTACACTCATCTCCATTCTTACTTTCTGGCTTAAAATACCTACTTTATACGGTAGCCATTTCATAAGAAAGAAATAAAAAGAAAGATATAGCCTATTCGGTAGGAGCAAGACGGCGCACATTTAAATCTTCAGTAAACCAGTCGACTACATCTCCGCACATCACCTAACACATCTTCGCTGTTATCACTAACGACATCCGCCCCACTCTTATCGGCTCTTACCTCATTTGTATATATCTTCAATATTGCATTGTTTGAACTCTGCTGTCCCTGTTTATAGTAATGGTAGTTTAAAAAGTAAAAAAAACTTTTCTCTTTCATAACGGTTGTTAAAATTATCATTGAGTTTAACTTTTCGAAATAAAAGTTGGGTTTACACCGTATGAATACTGACATCATAATTTAACAAACATAACTGTTTTTAAAAGGGAATTGG